TTTTATCATTATTTCTATATTTAACATTTTTTTTAATAAACATGAAAATTTTGTTGGAACTTTTTCAAACTCTTCATTTTAAAAGCATGTTTTATTTAATGAAAGTATAGCTTTCCGTATAATAATGAAGATGATATAGAATTTTGAGAAAAATTAGATTAGTTCTATTATGAGATTGCAATTTTTCTTTTAGACCGAAATAAACACTTTATCCTCGTTTAATTGCCGTTCACAGTACTATAACAGTTTGCCTCCACTTCGTGGGTAAAGTGGATGCATATTCAGGGTTTATAGCGCACGATCACCTACGTACCAACCGTGTATGCACACATTGGCTTGTTTAATGTCGCATCATCGAATAGATTTCGGTTCGTTCAGGGAACTTGCTTCCTGTTTCAAGCGTTTCATTCTCCAAGAGATACTGTGGACACAATGTTTGTCAACAGCTCTCTAACTGTTGCGTCAAACGTGTTCTGAATGTTCGATAGTGTTTACAGTCGATCAATCTCATTCGAGATATTCAGACAAAAGGGCTGGCAGATGCGGAGGAGTTCAGCGACGAGCTATCTTCCTGATTCCTACCTATCTAAATATATTCCAAGTTTTAGTATTCGACGAATGTTCAAGATGATGCGATATGTATAGAGGTTGAAATGGTCACTCCGAATAGAACAGATGATCGGTTATTCTGATCCTTTGAAATCTCGATTGATTTAGCTATCAGGATTATCTCAGTCGAAGGGGTGTAGTATGCAGTTTATTAGTATAACAGCTGTACATGTAATTTACTGGTCATGGTACATATTGGTAGGCGCGTCGATTAAATAATCAGGGTAACCAGAAAACAGTTGCCAGTATTAGCGGACGCTAATCTTGGGATTTAGATAATCTTAGCAGAGCAAATTATGCTATCTGCATTTCGTGAATATCTATAAATAGAAGGAAATTTCTATTGAAATTGTATTTCATTCATTTTCGTTGATGTATGTAGGTTGCGGGCAGGCGTATAACGCGAATTTCGCACAAGAATTTGTCATTTGGAACGAATGCTGTGTTATCCTGTGGCAATTTGTTGCTCCTGCATTTAGTAGAACAAGTCCGGCTGGGTATTCCATAGTTGTGTACACGCGCCGCCTATTCAGACGGTTATATAATGTATACATAGACGGACTGACGCTATTCAAGTGGGTTGAGGATTGATTAATTAGTTCGCGTTATATTTGCTTTAGTACATTCTGATCTCCGCCATTTTTCAGCATTTAATGAATTAGTTGGTCGATGTATATCGAGGTCAACTGAAAACTTCAAAGTAAAAAAGATCGATCGGGCGGCATTCAATTTTATATATTGCGAGACGTGAACGCGGCTCGTAAAATCAAACGCGTTCCGCTGGAACGGGACGAGTAGGTACTTGTATTAATTCATTGCGTCCCGTCATTTGTTGTGATACTCATTTACAAAATTGATAAAATCCATAAGAGTGTCGAAATATTATTTCAAATTCACTTCAAATTGATGAAATTATCTGTATCACAAATACAGAACACTGTTTTACCTTCCCTATATCTATGCTAGAAAAATGTAATGCATCCATGTAAAACTTAAAATCGTCAATTTTGAAAAAGTCATCAAAATTTCGTTGGCAACAGTAAAATGTGAGAGGATATTTTTTCTAATGATAAACACGGAGGGAGCATCGTACTGGGGAAAACAGCAGTGGCCTGATTTACGCCAGTATTATTCTCAGTCCGTGAAATAATTCCAGTGCAAGAAAGAGAGGGAATCGTGAGGCAAAGGGTTAAAGTTGGGTCACGATTGATTCACCGTTACATCTTTCAGTAGAGCAAGGGGACTTCGGCCCAGACTGCTGTAGACCAATCGGCAGCTGCTGGCGTTGGCGGTATGTACTGCGAAAACGTTGGTTCCTCCGACGCGAGGGTTGCTGGTCGTGTCGCGTATCTGGACCAGGGGCGCGGAAGGCAAGGGACGGCCGCCGGAGCGACCGGAGGGTGGGAGGTCGGGGGTTGCTCGGTGGAGAAAGGAGAGCGATGCCGGCCGAGGGTGGGCGTCAAGCTACGAATGCTAGTATGTCGCAGAGCGTAGTTCGCGATCGACGCGTTCCGCTTCTCCCAATTCACGGTTTCGTCGACGAGCCGCGCGTCCCCGGGGGTCGGTTGTGTCGCTGGAACACGTGGAGATGATTACCGTTCGGTGACAGTCCGCCGTCGACCGGTGTGTGCTCGATTATCTCGGTTTCGCCCGCGATACGTACCCGCGCGATGCTTCGCGAACGCGAACCGCTAATTTCTGGCAGCGTTTTCTCGCGGCGCCTGTAAACAGCCGGCTGGTCTGCCCGCTTCGGCACGACCTCTCGCGAGCGTGACGCATTTCGACGTGACGTCGTCGTCGGCGAGTGCTGTGTGTTTTATCATCGTGTGCTTTATCAGGACGACGTGCCACGCCGATGAAAGTGTGTTGCGACCACGGAGTCCCGTGATTTCGGTATGCCCGCGATAGTAGATCACCGGAAGCGACATGTACCCTGGTTCAACCGCTGATTTTCTGTTATCCGCGCCTTTTTATTCACTAATCCGAAAGCTCGGACGTTACACCGTGGTTCGATCGAGCTTGACGATGTACATGTGACCAGTCGTCTAGATTATTTATTTTCTGCATCTCTCTACATACATGCTCTTGGGCTAAACGGTTCACCACTGATTAAATAAACCCGAACAATTCTATTTATTTATTGCTTACGAAGTATGTCATTTTTCTCTTTGCTCGATTGCATCTCTTCTTCGTACTGTTTTCATCAATGATTCGTAATCCTATATTATTAGTTCTCGATTTCTAAATGTGTCCGCAAATTTCTGAAGAGTTTTCGCTGTTCAGTTACAAATAAGCGGGAAGTTTTCGACGCAGCGGGGGTTTACGAAGGTGTATCGTGCGTGCCTGAAAGGGACTCGGGTGGTGTTGGAGGGCGTTGATCTCAGCCGGTCACCTTCGTGCAAAAAGGCGTCGAATGTCTTCGTTGTGAATAGGTGCACTCTTCTTCTTCTTATGTAAGCTTAACCTGATGGATATAAAGAAGGGACGAAATAGAGAGAGAGTATTCGCCGTGAGACTAATATTCTCGTGCATATAGTTTACACTACGGTGACGCAAATATTGGCTAGTCTGGATGATTAGGCAGGGGATGCGATAATGTGCAGGGCGATATTTTAGGATCATCGAGCTTTCCTCTTAAATCTTGACGTTCCAAAAGTCTTTTATTAATCCCTTTGAAATATCGACAGATTCTACGGCTTTATTATTCGACAAAAATTTAATTATCGACAATTCATTTGTCTAGTTCTCGTTATAATATTTTATCGACTTATGAAATATTTGAGAGGCACAAATAATCTCATAATAAAGCTACCTGTTTCTATGAATTATAGTGATCGATAAATATTATCCCTGCGCTGATAAAAGTAATGGGAACGTAGTGTTGATTCACTGGGAACCAATAATTCTCCGTTTCCTCCAATAATTTAATCGCAAACTCCGATGATTGCCATCGTTTTTCACTTAGGATCCTATCCCCCTTTCATGCAATCGGTTCATCTTATCACCTAGAAGTGGCTCTCTTCTATCGCCTGATCTTTGGTCCCAGGCTATACTCGACCCTCGAACGACGTAAACCTCGTATCGTAGACAGGTTGTCTGACTCAGCTGTTAGGAACTTGGCCCCGGATGAAAACCGGAAGCTGAAAGCCGAGATATATTAGGCACTTTGACATCTGTGTACATATATTATCTGTATGCAATGTATTGGAGATATTTCAGCTGAACATTGATTTCCTGTCTAAAAACAATGGAAATATTCTTATAAATATATGTATGCATGTACCGATGAATCCTTTTTAAGAGCTATTGCTTTTTGTAGACATCGCGTTTTCATATGAGTTTCTCATTGTTCTAAAACAGCAGATCAATACTTTCGTAATACATCCTGTACTCGTGTAATATCAAGGATTTCCTTTCTAATTCTTTTAATAATTCTTCATAATTTAATTGAAACAATTCTCTTACTTCTCTCTTACTTATTGAACGAAAATATTCACGCAATTAATGCGAAATTCGGACTACTTTTATGAAATTGCTTTTTGGAACGAAACAGCGATTATAAATTGTCGGTTGGCAGTGCGTATGCATAAGATTATCGTACATTCGTTCCGTGTATCGGAACGGCTGACCAATGTCTTGCCTTTTTCACTGGTTTCGGCCGCAATCGATAATCCTTTGGGAGATGCTTGAACAGTTACAAAGAATGCTTCAGGGATTTGTGCGTTTTCCGTTCAATCGATTCGGTTTAAAACGCCTACGTTTCATTCTTGGGACGAGACACGCTGTCCGATTCAACCGTTCGCGATTCGATGAAATATACTTTTTATCCGCGAATTTCACGTCCGACAATTTGTTATGTCGCGCAAATCGGATGTTCTTCTATCGGTTTGAAAAAAATAGAATTTCAAGCTTCGACGTTACATTTTTCGCGTTTTTCCTTCTCTTTCTAGTTATAGGATTCCGCATGAGAGCTGGTTTCTCTATGTAGATATATTAATAAAATTTTATCTTTTAAATATGCCGTTTCTCCTATTGTCCGTATAATCTAATTAGAAACTGCCTGGCGGGAAAAGTTGTTTTCATTTCCATGTTCGTTAAAACTTTTCCACGGCTCGGTTACGAATACGTCTATCAGTGTCACTATTTATCTCTGATTTTATTCAATTATATCGAACGTTTCATCTCCAATAAAACAATACTTTTTTTTACATCATGAATCAACTACCATGTTAAATTAATAAAATTTATTTGGAGTTGTTTTCATGAATATCAATTTTTATAATTTGTATAAAGTTGATTGAAAATCATGAAATTTCCAGAAAAGGATTTAAATTCATTTTAATAATGTAAATTTAATAATCAATGCAGTCGCAAATTGGCAATGATAGACGCTAATAATACAAACGTACATTATTAAGCGTACGTAACGCGTCTACCTTCCTTTTATAAACTCGATATACATTCTCGGCTCGTATAATACGGTTCTTCGCACGGGAATCAAACTCGTTAGAGCAAACTAACCGTAACGACAGAACAAAATTTAGTTGTTTCGTCAGGTTTAACCGTACACGGCTGATTCAATTTGAACTTTAAATTGTGTACACATTCGACAAGATTGCGGGCAAAATTTTTCTGACTAGTTCCAATTCCATCCTTTCTTTGAACTTCGGTAGATTTTCAATTAAGCACGTTTAACTTAATCGTAGGTCATTAACATAAATATAAATCGTACTGCCATGTACAGGGGATTAAGAAAGTGCCGAGACAGATCCGCGTAAAATAATTCATGAATATATTATATTCACGTGTGTGTGTGTATGTGTCATACGCGAGGGTACTAAAATTTAACGAGATGCGATTATCAGGATTATATTGATGGAGTATCGTAGATATTTGAGAATGCGTGTACAAGCATTACAAGATAATTCATCCAAACGTGCACATCATTATTTATGAAGCAATTTATCTCGCAGCTTGTAATTTTAATAAGTATCAATAATTACTAAAATTAAAAACTGAATAGAATAGTTACTCAACGTTTTACGCAAATGTCGTGTCATATGAATTAATATAATAAATGTAAATTTTTTGCGAATTGCTCACTTACTTAAATTGAGTACTGTGTCGTAGATTGTGTTGTAAAATTTCTAAATATGAAGATATTTATATTTTTCTCATGTACTCCGAATCGACTGCAATAGAATTTGGTTCAGTCGGAGCCAATTATTATAACGAAGTCGGTAATTCTATCTCGCAGCCGGAGGTTCGTCTTTTCTTTATTCTTTTCCCATCGAGTATGCCGGTCACGCAAAAGTTCGTCTCTCGCGCAATTCTATCTCGAAAATTCCACTAGCACTTCGGTAAGGAGGTTTTACTTTCATCCACGAAATTCCGTACATAGTCTAACTAGTTTTAAAAGTGTAAGTGTAGTTTGTGCATACCTATTCTGATACACGCGGCCCGTGCTTAATATTGCCGCCACGTCGCCGTTGTGTTAAACGAAGTGCCTGTACGTACGTACGTACGCGAGGAAACAGTAGAATGGATGATACTTACAACGAGGCGACTTTAATGAAGAAAAATGAACAGAGGATTTAACCGAGACTAACGTCGTCCTGAATATGAATCGTCTGTAAACGTTTGAAAATATTTTCACTGGCCGAGCAGTTAATCGATTCTTTTAACGAATTGGCATACGCGCTCCGGTCGGGTTCGACGCTCGGCGAAATGTAAATTATTCGCCTAGCCTCGATTACAATTTTGGTGTGAACGCGTGTATATGCAAAGTCCCTTTCGCGTTTTATGTACACGCGGCCACCATGGTTGGTCCAGTAAATTTCACAGCCGCCTATGTATTCGGTGAGAATCTGATTTTTTACTTGTTGCGAAATTAATGATCGGTCGATAGCGATTTGGCACGCGCCGCGGTGCACCAGTTCACGGCACGATTTCGAAGAACATTTGTTTCGACATTCGAGCATTGACTCGGAAACATTGTCACGTCGTAGACTATTTAATACCGTTCGGTGTAGGCAAAGAAGTAATTTATCACGGACTTATCTTTTTGCTTCATCTACATTTTCACTTGCTCATAGAACGATACACTATCGTCTGTCTTTCTTCTAATGTTTAGTAGACGCGTATGAATGTAACGTGCAATCGAATACTGTTCATAATTTAGGATACGATAATACTCACAGCTGTATGGTCGCTATTAAGCCAGATTACTATGCGCTGTACGTAGCGTTGCGGTTGGGTCGACTTCATTTGTCAAAGGAGTGCGATATGAGTGGAACGTGGCAGGTTATTAGTACGTACCCTCATTCGTTCGGGAAAGTGCGACAGCTCGAACCGTTTAGAATCTCTCTTTCGTCGAATATTAGAACACGTTGATCCAGAAATAAGAGGTGAAAAAAGAGGGAAAGAATCGAGGGATGCAAAGCTGAGCGAAGTCTGCACAGTCGTAGGAGACCTGCGCGTTAGCGCATTGATTGAATTTTGTACGGGCACGGACTGCCGGAGGTGGTGGTAACCGTGGGACGACACAGGGATGGGCTGGGGTAGAGGGTGGCTAGATTTTTGGGGAGTGGGGTATGTTGGATCGAGCGAGGTTTCTCTCTCTCTCTCTTTCTCTCTCTCTCTCTCTCTCTCTCTCTCTCTCTCTCTCTCTTTCTGTACGACGCGACGGGACGGGACGGCGGCGGCTCGACGAAATTGTTCGGGGGTAGGAGGACGCGGTGAACCCAACGGAGCGATCCGTCTCACCGAATCTCTTCGCTGCCCCTTTCCCTTTAACTCCTTCACGTCGGGCTGGAGACAGGAATTTTATATAGAACCTCGTTCTATCTTAACGCAAGAAATCTTAACATAAGCAGTCGTAATAATTTCTTGTATTGGATTTATGCAATTTTTGTCGTTTGACGATCTGTATCAGTAAATTTTATATTGGACCTTGCTAAATCTTATCACAAGCAATTGTAGTAATTTCTTACGATTGAATTGAATTTGTATTGCTTTTATTGTCTGACAGTAAATGACAGCGTAATTATGAATAATAAGAATTACTTCTTGGTTTTATCGTGTCTTCATAATTATCTTACTTCTAAATTAGGATTTCGCTTAAATAAATATTCTTATTCAGCTTGAGCCACGAATGCACCCGATGTAAGTTGTTACTTGAAGCCAGCGTTAAATATGACGGTATGTATGAGGTATCTCGTTACCGGATGTCAACTTCAAACATGAAAAGGTGATATATCCAGCTTTTCGAAGCAAACATGCGAAATGAACGCAGGAATTCTATTCTTGGTACATAGATTCGAGCGTTAATTAAAACCCGGGATTAACTCTGCACTTGGAACTTCAGTTACATAAATTTCATAAACTAATGGATCATCATCTTCTTCAGAGCTCGGATAACTTCGCAATAAGTATTCAATTCGTTTTTTAAAGATGTTACGATTCGTTATATTTATATTTGTGAAGGTACAGTTCAGTTTTATTCATTAAGTGATAAGAGGAAACGTTGGGAACATCTGTTGAGTGAAGTGGGCTACTGATTATAAATGGGACATTCCTTGAAATATTCAGTATTTCAGCCGGAAATTTGTGAGTCATGAAATGAATTAGAAAAGTAATTTGCGTTACCGTGAATAAATGCATAGTAGGGAGTCTGACATCAAGGGGTTAAGCCGCCGCCGAACTTGCAAGAAACTTCTCCTACTTTTCTCCTACTCGTTCGCTCGTAACTCCTTTTCCTTTCTCGTTCTCTGTCTCTGGTCTCTCGCTTCTTCGGCCCGTCGTTTCTCGTTACGTTTACCCCGTGGCTCTGCACCCAATCCACGTGCTCCGTGTCTTGACACTGTCAACAGACGTGGAACCAGTTCGCTGATATCTCTCGAGAACTTCGAGATAAGATCCGCGAACTTTAACATTACGGACGATTTGTGGCGATGGGAACGATTTGAGTCGACTGCGATTGCCGTATATACTTCCGTTCAAAAGTTGTCTCGCTTTTCAGCAAACTATATTTTCGTAAGCCATTTCTCACAACGAAAATATCAGGTCATCTAATGAATAATACAAATGTCGTTTGATAGAAAGAAAAGATGGAACGAATAATTTTAGGAAATAATATCTCATTTGGCTAGTTCACGTCACGACACTGTCGGTATATTTTAGACCATTTTATAAGTATTTCTTCTATATTTTTAAACCAGTATGTCAAAGTTTAATAATATTCCAATTAAAAGAATTATTAGGCTGACGTTTCCAAGTACTAAAAACATGGTCCAACCTCAATATTATTTTTAAATAAATATCGAATTTTTATTTCAGTTTCAATTCTTAAGAATTGAATCATTTATGTATTGTTCCATATTGTCAAATGTCCATCCCGCGATTCTCGATCGAAAATACGGAACGAATTTTTGCATCAAATTAACACTTTACCACCTGCTATTTTTATTTTTAAATTTCGAGTAATTTATATCATGTTACTCTGGTATTTGACATAAATTGACATACGTTGTATTCTTCTTTTTTTTGACAATCGATACCGAGAAATGCTGGAACATAGTCGTCACTTAGAATAATTTGGACAAAGTTATGAAGACGTTTCACCCTTCGTTCTTGTCTCTCGATGGCATTCTACGGTAACAGCCGTAGAAAGGGTTTCTTATCCCAAGCCAAGTAAGAGAAAAAGCAACGAAGGAGAGCTTAACCGCTGAAGAGCATGGCAGACTTAAAGAAAAGTGGCAGTCCCCGGCTATTCACCGTCTGCCTTGAAATTATCAGCGCGGTGGAAAGAAAAAAGGAATACGAGAAAAAATTCACCGTCGGGGAGGGATTTATCATTGTGAAAAACTGTCGGTACATAAGAGTGTTATGCAAGAATGTTTTTTTTTTTTGGCGGCTAAAGCCCTCCGCGACCGAGACTTGGGAAATTGTCTTGGCAGTGCGAGAGGACGTACTTTCGAGTTGAACGATCCCGGCAGGGAATAACAGCTTGAAACGCCACGCTGAACTATTACAAACAGCCGAATGTGTTTTGTACGTGTAACGACATAAAAGAGAACGAATTTTTTGATTGCAGAACAGTTCAGCAATGAAAAATGAAATTTCTGTAGCAGTTCTTCGACAATAAAGTTAAGCGTTATTAAACTCGTGCCTTGTCGCTGGACTCATTGCGACAGTGTGATCGTCGTCTGTTTTATTGTAGTCTTCGCCAGATGGAAATTCTGTATTGGCTATACAGTCAATCCCAAAAGTTTATGTACCTTAGAAAAACACATTTCCTATAATTAAAAAT